TGTTTGAATTGGAACAACTCATTGAAATCCGTGTTTTAGCCTACTCATGAGTAGCAAATTTCAAATCATTTCCAAACAAACGGATATGCGATGCCTTGTTCCAAATTAGGCGATCTAGTCTATACTTTTTTCCTGTGCGCATCACAAGATATCATGGTTAGTAGAGGCCGATCTTCGGATCGAACGAGAGGGGGTGCTCATAGCTGACCTTCCCCAATCATACCCAAGTTCCCGAGCCGAGGCAACTCTGGTGATGACGGACACGTGGCCTTAGGCAAACGAGTCAGGGTTTCCTAAATTCCCCCAAAATAAAATATTTAGGTGGCGACTCTGTATCTGGCAAAGCAGTCCATGTTTGACACTTCTTTACAAAAATCTATTTTCCAAAACGATTTGCTGGATTTGGACTCTTTGGTTCAGATTAAGAACCGTGACAATTTGAGTCCGAACTGTAGTAAGCCCAAATGAACAAATCGAGATTTCCCTTCCAGGACGTTCGGGGATGTCTACAAATACTTTGCCATGCCCCTTTCTTGCTCTCTGTTGCAGCAAACCAGAAACCAGCAGCAAAAACTGGTCGGCTGACCAGATAAAGTGGCTGGCTGACCACTTTTTTTGGTTTTGACCACAAAAAGTGGTCGGCAAGTGGTCTCTAATGCCAGCAACTGGTCGGCAGCATCCCTGCAGGTTCCCATGATGGAGTTTCAGCGTTCTGGAGCTTTGTGTAGTGTTCTGGGACCAATTGCAAACAGAGGCAAGTTGGGGCGTCGCGAGGGATTGCCGAACAAGACGACTCGAGCATGCATGCATCCTTTGTCATCCAAAGCAGAGCTGAGGCAACATACATCATATAGTTTATATGCTTATTTAATTGCTAACTTAGGTAATTTGTTAATTAGTTAGAGTTGTGTAATAATTGGCTGTAGTTCGTTATTCATTTCGTTATGTAATAACTAGTTTAATTAGATTAGCTAGTTAGCTTGTTATTCGGACCCTCCGCCGAGAGGGCGAATTTTGTAATAAGTGTGCGTGTGTGTGATGCATGTCTTCCAACCCCCACTTCTTTCTCCCTTTTATTTACCAGCTTATGATGGTTAGTTTTAGGTCATGTTTTAATTAGCATCCTTATGTTCGCATGTTTGCATTCATTCATCTGTCTTGCATATACCGGGCTCGGCGTATCATACTAACTGCTTTGTATTTCAATTCCAAGTTGAATACATGTTACATGTAGCATCTCATATGCCATCTTAGAATAACCGAGTCTATCTTAGTTGCATTTTGCATGTGTTGCATTAGCCATCTTAACATGAACTAGGATCATGCATTGATTACTAACTAGCTCCTGTTTTGGCTCGGAGTACTCGGTGAGTGTTTATACTTTGGCATCCTTGCATGTGTGTGAGTGACTGCCATGATAGCATGCTTGCCATGAGGCTAACTACTTATGTGATATAACTGCCTGATTGCCTGTGGGTGAATGTTGAATTACTTGAATTGGAACAAATCATTGATTGCGAGTTTTAAGCCCACTTGAGAGTGGCAAATCACCATTTTTTTTCTAAGCCCACTTGAGGGTGGCAAAATCCGCATTTTAGCCTACTTGCGAGTAACAAACTGCTTTCAAAAACAAGCATGAGATGTTTTGTTCCAACTTAGGCGATCTAGTCTATACTTGTTTGCCGTGCGCATAACATAGTAATTCTAGGCTAATAACCGGAATAAGAGAACATGCGTTTTCAAAAACAACATATCATGTTAGTAAAGGCCGATCTTTGATCGGGCGAGCGGGGGTGCTCATTGCATGACTTCCCCTCTCGTACCCAAGTTCCCGAGCCGAGGCAACTTTGGTGATGACGGACACGTGGCCTTAGGTACGAGTCAGGGTTTCTTAAATTTTCCAAAAATAAAATATTTAGGTGGCGACTCTGTATTTGGCAAAGTAGTCCATGTTTGGCACTTCTTTCTAAAAAATCAATTTTTCAAAACGATTTGCCGGATTTGGACTCTTTGGTGATTTATCGATCTTACATTGCACTTTGTGAGATTAAATTCAGAACCGTGACATGGAGTCCGAACTGTAGTAAGCCCAATGAACAAAACGAGATTTTCCCGGGACGTTCGGGCGCATCTACACCAGCCATCAGAGCCAATCCTTTTCCCAAAGTTACAGATCCATTTTGCCGACTTCCCTTGCCTACATTGTTCAATCGACCAGAGGCTGTTCACCTTGGAGACCAAATACGGTTATGAGTACTACCAGGCGTGGGAGGCACTTGGTCCTCCAGATTTTCAATGGCCGCCAGGGGCACAACAGACACCACGTGACGTGCGGTGCTTTTCCAGCCACTGGACTCTACCTCTAGCTGAGCCGTTTCCAGGGTGGGTAGGTTGTTAAATAGAAAAGATAACTCTTCCTGAGGTCCCCACCGATGTTTACAGACTCTCTAACATTGCCGTTAGCCGTCACGTCCCGGTTAAGGAATTTTAACCTGATTCCCTTTCAAAGCTTGCGCTGAACGCGCTCTCTGTCGGGCTTCCCTCGACTCTTAGGATCGACTAACCCATATGCAAGTGCTGTTCACATGGAACCTTTCCCCTCTTCATCCTTCAAAGTTCTCATTTGAGTATTTGCTACTACCACCAAGATCAGCACCAATGGCTGCTTTGCCTGGGCTTGCGCCTAAGGTTTCGCAGCGACCGCTACGCCCTTCTACTCATCGGAGCTGGGCACTTGCCCTGAGGGTCAGGCTAGTTGATTTGGCAGGTGAGTTGTTACACACTCCTTAGTAGATTTTGATTTCCATGACCACCGTCCTACTGTCTTAATCGACCAAGACCTTTTGTGGGTTCTAGGTTAGCATGCAGTTGGGCACCATAACCGTGGTGCGGCTCAACAGAGCAGCCGCCTGTCCTACCTATTTAAAGTTTGAGAATAGGTCGAGGGCATTGCGCCTCCGATGCCTCTAATCATTGGCTTTACCTGATAAAACCTGCGCCTGGGCTCCAGCTATCTTGAGGGCAACTTCGGAGGAAACTAGCTAGTAGGCGGTTCGATTAGTCTTTCTCCCCTATACCTAAGTCAGACGAACGATTTGCACATCAGTATTGTTGTGGGCTTCCACCAGAGTTTCCTCTAGCTTTGCCCCGCTTAGGCATAGTTCACCATCTTTCGAGTCCCGACAGGCATGCTCACACTTAAACCCTTCTCAGAAGATCAAGGTCGGTCGATGGTGCAACAAATGAGGGGATCCTGTCAATCAGTTTTCTTGCATCTTACGAGTTTACTCACCCATTGACTCACATACATGTCAGACTCCTTGGTCCGTGTTTTAAGACGGGTCGGATAAGGAGCTTGCAAGCCGGTGCCAAGAGCGCGCAGATGTCGAAGCATGCCAAGGGTGCGCGGTGTCAGCCACGATCAAGGCAAAGGCGACTCCATGGGATTTTTGATTGTCCAGGCTTTGGCCTTCACCCCAATCCGCACCGATCCACACCCCGAGTCGATTGGCAAACTGGCTAGTCGTCGTTTCACATCTGACTGGGCCGTATCGTTAGCCCCCATCCGCTTCCCTCCTAACAATTTCGAGCACTCTTAGCCTTGGACAGAATTTACCGCTCGATTCGGGCTGTATTCCCAAATAACCCGACTCGCAGACACCGCCTTGTGGTGCGATAGGGTCTAGGCACGAAGGGGCCCTCACCCTCTCCGGCGCCCCTTTCCAGGGGACTTGGGCCCGTTCCACCACTATGAACACTTCTCCAGACTACAATTCAAAGAACGGGATTGCTAGATTTTCAAGATGGACGCTTCTCGGTTCACTCGCCATTACTAGGGAAATCCTTGTAAGTTTCTTTTCCTCTGCTTATTGATATACTTAAACTTAGCGGGTAATCCTGCCTGACTTGCGGTCTCAATCAAAGCTCCTTGGTAGTGGCGCAACAAGGTCACGATAGACCTGTAGTGATGACCCAGACACGCGTGACACGACGCAACGGGTTTGTCAACCACCACTCGTCGCGGGCACGCCCAGGGGGCCAACATTCGCCCGCAGCCCTTCTTCCCCCCTTTGGGGGAAGGGGGCGCGAGCAACGCAACGTGAGACGCCCAGGCAGACGTGCCCTTAACCTAATGGCTTCGGGCGCAACTTGCATTCAAAGACTCGATGGTTCACGAGATTCTGCAATTTACACCAAGTATCGCATTTCACTATGTTCTTCATGGATGCGAGAGCCGAGATACCCATTACTGAGAGTTATTTAGTATTTTCGTGAGATGCAGTACATGAATGTGCTCTCTTTGGTTCGAGTTCCTTGGTGAAATTCATGTCGGGGTTTGTTGGTTTGCCGAGAAATGGCACTTGCCGCCCTCAGAGGGGCCCAGGGAGCACTCCTGACGAGGGGCAACAGGAAGGACTGACCGCTCGCTCTCCGTCCTCCTCCAACGATAATTATGACAATTCGCCGGTTCGTTCCTCACGCAGATGGCATCAACAATGATCCTTCCGGGAGGTTCACCTACGGGAAAACCATGTTTAATGACTTCTTCTCCTCTAAATGATAAGGTTCAGTGGAGCTTCTCATGACGTCGGCCGATAGCAAACTGTCTACGTCATTGTGATATGCTGACACTCATCGAACCATCAATCGTGGAAGGTGGATGGGGCTCGGTGTGTACAAAGGGTAGGGACGTAGTCAAACGCGATGCTGATGACTCACGCTTACCAGGAATTCCCTCGTGAAACCAACAATTGCAATGACTATCCCCGATCATGATGAAAATTCAAAGATTAACCCGGCCTGTTGGGCTAAGGTTTATAGATCTTGTTGAATTATCAGTGTAGCGCCGTGGGCCCAAAACATCTAAAGGGCATCACAGACCTGTTATTACCCTCAAACTCCATGGCCTAAAGGGCCATAGTCCCTCTATGAAGCTAGTGATGTGAGGGTCACCTTTATTAGAGTAAGTAGTGAGGCTGGGGGTCTCGTCGTTAATGAATTGACCAGGACAATCGCTTATTCCACCAACTAGAACCGCCATGCACCACCACTGCAAGAATCAAGAAAGAAGCTCTCAGTTCTGTTAATCCATACTTGGTCTGGACCCCGGTTACGTTTCCCTTATGTTTGAGTCAAATTAACTGCAAGCTCCACTCTTGTGGTGCCCTTCTGTCAGTTCCTTAAGTTTCAGGTCTTTGCGACCATATTTCCCCTGGAGGCCCAAAAACTTTGATTCTCATAAGGTGCATGTGGGAGTCTTAAAAGTAACAATCGTTGGATCCTGGTCGTATCGTTTATGGTTGAGACCTCAGGCATGGTATCTGACGTCTCTCGAGCCCCAATTTTCATCTTGATTAATGAAAACATCCTTGGCATAATATCTTTCGCAGTTGCTTGTCTTTCATAAATCTAAGAATTTCACCTCTGAATATGAAATACGAATGCCCCTTGACTGTCCCTAGCTATATCATTTGCCTGATCTTGGAAGCCAACGTAATAGGATCGAAATCCTTATGATGTTATCCCATGCTAATGTATCCAAAGCGTAGGCCTTGCTTTTGAGCATCCGAATTTCTCTCAAGAAATAACTCATTGGAGGCACGACTCGGCAATTAAGACCAGAACGGCATTGCCTGGCAGAGGGACGAGACGACTGGGCACCACGTGGGGTGGACGCGGCTGAACCCCACTAAATCCCCAACTATGAAGCCTTTTTAATTGCACAACTTTAAATATACGCTATTGGAGCTAGAATTACCAGGCCGGCTGCTGGCACCGAGGCCTGCCTGAAATGGATCCTCGTATAAGGGATTTAGATTGTACTCATTTTAATTACCAAGACTTTAAAGCCCGGTATTGTTATTTATTGTTACTACCTTCCCCATGTTAGGATTGGGTATTTGCAACGCCTTGCTGAGCTTCCTTGCATGTGGTAGCCAGTTCTCAAGCTCTCTCTCCGGAATCTAACCTAATCTCTTCTGTCACCCGTCAGCGATCCGGTCAGTAGGGCGCACTATCCTACTCACTCGAAAGTTTTGATTGGTGTAGACACCCCATTTTTGACCATCCTCAAGACTTGGTTGTGCTTACAGGTACATCCAGCCACAAGTTCGATTGCTCGTCGAGTACTCGACCTTCGCAACAGAACGTCACAGGTTTGAGCTTTTCAAACCCTGTATCCTTTCTGCCCCATTTTTGGACCATGTATTGGCCCTTTCTGCTTGCTTCTTGTGAGGCAATGCCGACCACCTTTTGGCCCTGCCGGCCATGTTTTTGCCCCTGCCTGCTATTGATGAAGCCTGCTGGCCATTAATGAGGCACTACCGGCCACAATTGATGGCCGGCAAAACACTTTGTCTCAGCAGATTTCACTCCAGATCTTTTAAGCCAGCTGGTTTTCACTCATCCCTCCTCCATACACTATGGAGGGATGAAGCCCTTTTCAAGCTTGTTTAACAAGCTTTCTATTGCCTTTCTTCTATATAAGGAGAGGCTCCTCCTTCATTTTAGAGGTTCAAAAAAATCGGTTGAGAGTTATAAATATAGCTTTGTATCTATATCTCTCTTTGTTCTTGTTTTGTGCTTCAAAAGTGAAGCTTTGTCTTAGTTTAACACATAAACACACACTCAAACACCTTGATTGTGTTGCTGAGGCTTCTTGAAGTTGTTTTTGGTGTTCTTGGGTTGATTTGAGCTTGAAAAGCTTGATGGAGTTGCAGCTTTAAAGAAGGTCTTCAAGGCTGAGTTTCCATCCCTTAAAACCCCCATTATTTCTTAAGCTTTTATCCCTTCTTCCATGCTGTTTTAAGCTTATCTTTCTACAGGAAAAAGTTTTCTTTTTGCATGCTTAAAAAGTTTATTTAAGGTCACTTTTTCGTTTAGGGTGATCTACCCCCCTCTTAGGCCTTGTTAGGCCTTATTTTGAGTCATCCATTTAGGCTCTTGTTGTAACCTTTGCATGACCTTTCTACCACTGAAATCTAGGGGATTTTTAGTGGTGGAAAGGTGGTTTTGGAGTCTTAAATCTTATTTACTTGTTTTGAATGCCTCATGTGTGAGCATGTTTGTTAAGTTTATGTTGGCCATATCTTAGGATGTATTTGTGGTTATTTTGCTGTGGCATGCCACCGTTTTTGCTTGGTTTTGTCACTCCATGCATGCCTAATGCACTTGTAATGTAAATCACAAAAACTAGTCTCGTGTCCTTCATGAAGTAGCATGTCATTCTAGCTTGATTTGAGTCCATTTTAGCATGTTCTTGGTGTTGTTTTACCATGTCATACCTCTGTTAGGGTTTGGTTTAATAGCTCCTTGCATGCTCCATGCACTTGTAGTGCATTTCCATAAAATAGCCTAACATGCATCATGCTTTGACATGTCATTTTAGCATACTTTTGGCTTAGCTCTGAGAGGACTTTGTTCATGTTTTAGCATATTTAAGGTCTGATTTATGTTATCTTGGTCATGCATGACTTGCTTTGTATAGCCTTAGTTCAATCTAGCTTGTTAGCTTTGTGTATTGAGTCTTCTAGCATGCATTACTTGGAGTATTTCAATGATTTGGCATCATTCATAATGTGATTTCAGTTCATGTTTCATGTCCATGTATTCACATTTGTCACTCATTCAATGCGTTGGAGGATTTTTCCCTTTATGCCTTAACATGAATCATTGTGTATGCCTTCATGCCTTAGCTTGCAAGCCATCATTTCAGTGCTTATTTGGGGTTATTTTGCCATGATATAACCCTGATTTTTGTTGGTTAAGTCATCCCATGCTTGGTCTTAATAGGTGTAGTGTAATCCACCTTATTTGCCTTGTATGCACCATGTCTTATGCCCTTCACGTTAGCATGTTTTGGCTTACTTCCATGCATGTTTTGGACTCATTTTGACATGTTCTAAGACTGTTTTGGGTTTCCTTAGCCATATACTTCATGTTTTGTATACTCGTAGCACAAGTGCTTATGCTTGCTCCAAGCTTTGAACACCATAGCATGTTTCATTTGCGTTGTATACATGATTTGGCATCATCTAACATGACATTTCAGAGCTTATAGCAATGCCATGTTCCCACTTCATTCATGTTTTAAGTGTCTTTGAGTGTTGTGCATTGTTGTCTAGTTTTTGGCTTAGCTTGTATGCTTGCATGCCTAGGTCTTTGAGCCTCCACCTTAGCATGTTTCGGTCATTGTCTTGACCTATCTCAGCTCTATCCATGGTTGGTTCACACATGCTTGCCATGTATTGCACGCCTCCTTTACAGTCCTCTTTATTAGCTTTCACGCTTTAGGACCTTTGCATGCTATACTCATGATTGATTGAATGGTTTGGCACCATTTAGTACCTCATTTCAGTGCATTTGGTGTTGTTACACTTACATGTTTGTCACTCCTTGAGCACTCTTGAGAGTTGTACTCTTAGGCCTCCTTGGTTGGCCAATGCATTGTGCATGCATGCTTTATGTTTTATGCCTTTATTTTAGCACTAATGGCCACTGATTTGGGCATGACTGAGGTCTACCCCTTTTGGTTTAAGTCCATTTGGCATGTTCACTTGCATGTTGCTTGTATGCTTATTTTGCTTTGCATTGAGTATGCATGTCCATAGCATTGATAAGCTGCCCTTGTTTCATTGCATTGTGCATGCATGCATTACATTATATTTAGAATCTTAAGTTGCTTTGCATTGAATATGCATGCCATTGAACATTGAGTATGCTTATCTTACATCGCATTGTGCATGCCATGTAGTTCATAGCATTGAGTATGCCATGTAGTTACATGTTTGCATGCTTAAGTCATATTGCATGTTTGCCATGCTTGTGTTGCATTGTTGTTTGGATTAAGTATTAATCCGAGCATGAGAAACGAGGGACGTTTCATACTTCAAGTGATGAAACGTGCCTCGATTCTCGGTCACCGAAGCTCTTGACGATGCATGATAGAGTTCTAGGCATTTATGTGTTTCTTGTGCATTCATTTTACATTAATTTGCACGTGTTGGATCTTTGGCCATCATGCATCGAGATGCGTGATTGATGGTCTTGGATCCGATTATGCCTCTCCCTTGATGTTTTGAGGTGATATGGAGTGACATAGTGCATACATATCCTTGGGAGACCCTCCATTTTCTCTATTTTGTGCCCTGCTGCAACTTGGTGTCATAGCACACTAATGGCCGGCACCCTCTTGTTGTTGGCCACCAGTCTTTCATTCTTGGCCGGCAGTACCTGCTCTTGGTCGACAGGGGGGTCAAC